CTTGCACAATAAGATTCAAAATATGGCTACAACAATGAACTTTGAAAAAATCACCACCACACACCAAAGATTTATGTATTGAAGATCTCAATTTCAACGAGTTAGCCATCACATCATTTTAACTAGCATTATCTAATGTGATGCTAAAAATTTTCTGATCAATATTCCATTCGCTTAAACACATGACCACCTCATCTGCTAAAGATAATCCATCAAAAGGAGGTGCCAAAGCTTTAAAGCGAATAATTCTTTTTTGTAACTTCCAATTTGTCAATCCAATGAGCAGTTATACACATGAATTCATCATCAGTGTGCTCAGATTTCCAATTATCGGAAGTTAAACAAATCCGATTAAGTGTATTAGACAAATCACTTTTTACACCCTCTCTCACTTTCACATAATTAGACATAATATCTCTTTTAGCAGTATGCCTACTCATATTTTTAAATTCAAGATTTATAGATTGAATAAAAGAATCTAAAACCAGGTTCTTCAACAGTAGTAAAATGGTGTTTTCCACATACAAGAAAAATCGATAATGCCCTACGAGACTCTTGTTGATCAAACTTGTAGTTTTTCAAAAAAGTACTCCCATCAGTGTTTGATTGAGTAGTTACTTTGTACTATCTAATATCCTGAATTCTACGTCTAGGGCAACGCTCTAAATGACGCTTCAAGTGARTAGTTCCCTTACTTGACTTACCTTGTAATATTTTCATGTAGTGCTTACATCGTGCCTTTTCCGAATTAATCTTTTCCATTTCTTACCACACCTTAGATGTTAATCTTTTCTTAGTGGAAGTCTGGTCAAACTCTTGATAGTCATCATCAACTATATCTACTCCAGCAGCCGCATTTTCACTTGCCATTGAAATGATAGTAATTATTAAATATGAAATAACCTGCATAATGAATTCTAATTTTATCAATAAGGCAAACATATATTAAATAAAAAACTAAAAGAAATTTCTACAATTTGTTTACATTAAAAAAGAATATAATTTCTGAATCTGCAAAAAAAAAAACAATTACAGATTATCCAATATAAATTCTGAATTCAATAATCAATATAAATTAGAATTTATTTGCATTAAAAAAGAATATAAATTTTGAATTCAATAATTAATATATAAGAATTTATTTACATTGAAAAGGAATATAAATTCAGTATAAATTATGAATTCAATAATCAATATAAATCAAAATTTATTTACATTAAAAAAGAATATAAATTCANTAAAAAATAATATAAATTCAGTATAAATTCTAAATTCAATAATCAATATAAATCAAAATTTTTTTACATTAAAAATAATATAAATTCTGAATTCTATAATCAATATAAATCAAAATTTATTTACATTAAAAAAATAATATAAATTCTGAATTCAAGACAAAATAATATAAATCAAAWTTTATATAAATTCTAAAGGAGAGAAGACCAACATTACTTAGTAAATTTCTATTTCAAGACAAAAATAGCATTCAAGCAAGATGATAGCATTCGGCTATCACTACTGTTTCTTTGTGCATGTGAAGACTGACAGATTTTCACTCTTCCTCTTCTTYTAAATCCAATCCACCCAAGCCTGCCCAATCCACCAAATCCAATGTTTAAATATGCATAGGCAAAAGACAAGGTGCTAGGACCGRCCTTTAGATGCATGAAGCATAACCCTTGAGGTATGATGCTTAAGTCCCATGGGTTATAGAATTTTCAAGAAAAATGACAATCAAAATTTATTACTATTGTGGTAAAGATGTTGTACAAATAGGAAAAGCCAACATTTCCCTCGTATTGGGCCAACACCTACTACCCACCCATACACTGACTTTTTGAGAAATAAACTATCAGTACATTTGCTCCCTTCCCACCCCTTTTCTTGCAGGAGAATCATCCACACAATTGGCTGATCTTGGTACCCATCTATAGTTAATTCTCAAATCTCTAGTCATCATTTTAATGTTTCTCATTGCATGTCTATATTGCCATGAACCTCCATTATCATTTCCTAATCAACCAACAACTACTTGAGAATAGATGGCGGGTGTTGTTCACAGTCGATCAGTATTCTGATGTAGTTTCAAAAGGAAAACCAAAAAGAAATAAGGGAAAAACAAAAGAAAGAAGAGAGGAAGAGAAGGGAAGAGAATAGAAGAAGAATGAGAAGAGAAAAAGGGCACAGATCTTAATAGCAGTTCTGATACTAACAGGATTTGTAATGCAGAGGCAAACCTGGTGGTGGAATTACGTTTCACATTTTCATATTTTTTAAACAATTATGATAACACCCATTTTTTTCTCCATAATTCAAATAACGATTATGTTTCACATTGGATGGATCATGGCTGGACAAACCTGGTGGTAGAATCAGACTCCCAATCGACTGGAAGTTTCAGAAGTTTATAATATATTATCTCCAACAGTTATAAAAACAGTAAACACTAAAGATTGTAATAGAATAAAATGGTAAAGAGGACTCACCGCCCCTGCCGGAGAGTTTGCGGTGAGTCGGTGACTGTGGTTTGTGAGCTGCGAGCCTGACCTGTGATTTTGACAATGATCACTTGATCAGTTCGCGTCTGAGAGAGAGAGAGAGAGCTCACTACTGCCGCCAGATTTGTTGCGCCGATGAACGTTCGCCGCCTCGCCGATTGTGGCTGCCTGAGAGTGTGAGGATGAGAACTGTGGAATGTGGAGGATGTGGAGATTGGAGATGAAGGGTTCGGTTGGAAAAAAAGAATGGGAAGAGGCAAAGAGGTCTCGACTAGGGTTTTTACTTAGGTTTAACTATAGGTTGGGCTGAGCCGGGCTCGGACCGGGCTATTTTGGCAAATCTCGAGCCCGGCTCGAATTTATTGTGGGCCGGGCTTTTTGGCCCGAGGTTAAGCCTGCGGGCCCATATACCTGTTCAAGCCCATCCGAGGGCCTGGCCGCCTGACCCATGAACAGGTCTAGCCAAGCGTAGGTGGATCAGTGCGGCCATTAGTGCCATTATGACATATCTTGTGGTGGTTGTCATCGTGAAATAGTATATTGGACCTATGAGTTAAAAGGTCTTAGAGGTTAGAAGCCTAGGGAAGGGAGTGTTTCTTAACATCGTATTTAGTAGTGAGACATCCTGTTTATCTCAAATTAAGAAGAGAAAACCATGTTTTGATTCCCTCTGTCATTTACTTGTGACACATAGTGGACTCTAGCCAACCATTAACATGTCTGTCGAAGAATAAGTTGCAATGTTTTTGCACACTATAGGGAATAATGAAAGGAATAGTGTCATACATGTTACCTTCGGGTGTTCACAAGAGACCGTAAGCCGGTATTTCTACAAAGTCCTGCATGTTGTACTTAGATTGTACATTTTGTTGGTTATACAACCAACTGGAGAACAAGTACCCTTGGAGATTAGGAATGACTCCTAGTTTATGCCATATTTTAAGGTATGTAACAGATGTTTACACTTTTTTCCTTAAAACCTCCCTAAACTATGAAATTAACATAATTCAATTAAATGTAAGACTGTATAGGTGCAATTAATGGGACCCATATCCCATACAAAGTGCTTGTTGAGGAGCAAGGCAAGTTTCGTGGTAGGAAGGGAAAAGCAACACAAAATGTAATGGTTGCAGTGACATTTGATTTAAAATTCACTTATGTATTGGCTGGGTAGGAGAGTTCAACCACTGATGCCACAGTCCTCTATGATTCCCTAAGAAGGGAATGCAAACTCCAAGTTCCAGAATGTAACTTAAATTGATACTTCATCCTTTCTAATACTTGAATAATGAACTCCATTGTCTCAAATAACTGCTTATTGACAATGATCATTCAATGAAACATAGGAAAATACTACTTAGTAGATGCCAGATGCAGAAACATGTCAGGATTCCTAGCACCTTATTGAGGCACTAGATACCACTTCAATGAGATACGAGGGTGGTTGTTGGAGTCCCCTAAGGAGATTTTCAACCACAGACATTCATCATTGAGAAATGCAGTGGAACATGCTTTCGGTGTTCTGAAGAAGCATTGAACAATCCTTGATGCAACACAACATTTTGACTTTGACATACAGGCCAAGATTGTTATAGGTTGTTGTGTGCTTCACTACAATATCATGGGAGTTGATCCACATGAGCAGTACACCCGAGAAGGGATCCGTGAGGCAGACAGGCAAAATACATCCGGTGGGGATGAATTTGTGGATGAAAGTGCCAATGCAAATTCTCTTGCACCAAGGCTACAAAAAAAATGAACTAGCAAGGTGATCCACATTTAGGGACCAAATTGGGTCACACATGTTTCGAGACTGGAGGAGATTATGAAGATGATTAGGAGTTGTAGCATTTGGATTAATTACTCATCATCATTTTTAGAACCAATTTGTTTTAATTGCAGTTCTTATAATGTTTAAAACATCCAAGTTATTTGTTTTATTAGATATTCATGACTTGGTATAGACAGATTGATATATCAACAATATTGTTTAAATACTTTATTTTTGTATTGTACATGTTTACTTCTATGTTGTTGATTACTATAGGTATTTTCAGTATTTCTTTATGATAGTGTATGTACATGTCTATGTGTTATTTATTTAGTGTATGAAATGGAATACTTTGGTAGGGATGGTCTCTAGTAGAGATACAACAGGAACATCTATCAGTAATAGGAAATATGGCAATAAGGGAAATGATGTGTTGTCTATCTCTCAAACTATGTCCAACAAGGGTGATCGAAGTTGACAAGTAAGATGGAATGATGCCATGGACAAGGCATTGATTGAGCTACTTGTTGATCAAGTAGCATTGGGCAACAAAATTGATAAGGGGTTTCGGACATTTGCTTACACATCAGTATGCAAGGAGATGACTGCCCGTTTCAATATTGATATGAGAACACCCCATACTAAGAAAAGAATGAGAACATTAAAACCCATATACATGGAAGCCAAGAAGCTGCTCGAAACTAGTGGCTTTGGCTGGAATGAAACCAAAAATCAAATCATAGCTGACCTAGTTGTTTCGGATGATTACATCAAGGTAAATGTGGCTTATTTGTTTTTTTAATTAATATTTAAAATTGGCAATCGGTAATGGTGTCATCTACAATGCAGGCCAATCCACTTGCACTGTGTGAGGGTGATGAAGATGTTTGAGGAGATGCAAACAATTATGGAAAATGATCAACCTATAGGTGACAAGGCTATGGTAGGGTTTGAGTCAATGACTGAATGTAATGTTGATTTTGATGGTGCTGAAGAGGATGACCTTGAGATCAATGATGATGCAATAACCCCACTGACTGTTGATGAATTCATTTGTGAAGATGGTACTCAATCAGTCTCCAACAACAACCGTATGGCAGGTTCCTCAAACTCAAAAAAAAAAAAGAGTGCATGGATCAAAACTGAAGACCAACTAGGACTTTATTGATGCAATTGATAGAATGAATATTACAATGTCAAAAATTGCATCTGCACTTACACTAGAGATTGAGATGGATTTCTTGAACTGTTTATGGAAGGAAGTTATGGACTTGGAAAGGTATGACATTCAAGTCCGGAGCACTATCTTTAGGTACCTAGGTGAACATGACAAGGAAGCAAGGATTTTCCTTGCAAGGGACAAGCCATTTAGGGCTCAGATGGTCCTATCCATCATATCTAAGATGATTGGTTTTGGTGGAATGTAGTAGTACCTCTTGTTTTGTTATGAAGTTTAAACAATGTAACTTATTAACACTTCTACCCCTTTTTGTTATAACCAAAATTAGGTTGATGCACTTGCTGATGAAACATATTAACTAATTGGTGGCAGCTATAGTAGTTTTTAACACTTCTTAGTATTTACTTCTATAATGATACTTTTGACTTACTGATATAATGGAACTTTCTTGTTATAACTCTTTGTTTGTAATATGTCATCATATGTCTGTTGCTTGAAATATATGTATGTTTAATTACATTGTTGATGTCTTATACTCACATTAACTTGTCCTAATGGTGAGGTGTGTAGGATGAAAAAATCCTATGTTGTGTTCAAGGGGAGAAAGCTAGGTGTGTGACTCATGGCCCAGTGTCAAAAGCAAGTTGCTGGGTTCAAGGGGAATTCTTATTGTTCATGTAACAGTTGAGAAGAAGTTGAACATGTATACTATAAGTATTTTGAAGTAGAGCTAGATACAACATATTCCTCTAAGAAGTTGGTTGCAAGGCCATCCACATCTACAATTAGGCCATATATGGTAAGAGGCATCATTGGATTCTTTACTGGGATTGTGGCATGGGGGTTGTTTAATTATCCAAATCATTTGGAATATATATGAGAGAGAGAGAGAGAGAGAGAGAGGGATATATATATATATATATATATATATATATATATATATATATAGATATATTGATAAATAGAGAGAGAGAGAGGGGGGAGTTGTGTGAGTGAGGGAGAGAGAGATTTTATATTTAGCGGGAACCATATTTTGGATCACTTATATCATATCACTTATCATTATCATTATCATATCAGATTTTATCATCTGTTTTGGATCACTTATAATAGGAACCACATTTTATCATTTGTTCTCATGAGTGAGGGAAAGAGAGATTTTATATTTAGCAGGAACCACATTTTGGATCACTTATATTAGATCACTTATCATTATCATTATCAGATCAGATTTTATCATCTGTTTTGGATCACTTATAGCAAGAACCACATTTTATCATTTGTTTTCATGTATTTATCCTCTGTTACCATTATGAGATAAGATAAACTGATCTGATCTGATATATTTATATTTATCCCCCATTATCAGGTCAATTATATTTATCCCTTATACTTTTCCATGATAAACTCATCCAATAAAATGTGAATGGATTGAATAGGAAATGTGAATGTCGATTGTTATTAGGTCTCATTGATTGAACTGGAAGTGTGAATGCCGACTGTTATGTTGTCTCATTGTTTGAAGGCTGACAATACCTTCAATGATATGTGAATGGCTTGATTAGGAAATGTGAATGCTGACTGTTATCAGGTATCATTGTTTAAAGGCCAACATTACCTTCAATGAAATGTGAATGGATTGTTTAGGGCGTGTTAGAATATCTCCTGTATGAATGAAATGTGAATGGATTGAATAGGAAGGGGAAGGAGATCCAACAAATGAGCAGATATGGAGTGATCATTCTCATATTTGTGAACAGATGAACAGATACGGAGTGATCTTCAACAAAATATGGGTCTCCCCATATAACCTGCATCATCTTCATCCGAGAGAGATCCAACCCATGTTTTAGTGGCTTCTCTATCACAAATCACAATACTTTCGAAGGTAGGCAAAGTCCGTTTCATGAAAAGAAAATATCTCTTACAAAGCTTCCAGGAATACTAAAAACTAGGTTGGTTTTCAAAAATGCCTACCTCTGTTTTCACCAAAGCTGCTGTTTTGAGGAAAGATTAATAGGATTTATTAGGGTTACTGGAAGCGTTATCATGTAAATTATCTTACTTGTTGTATTATGCAAGAAGTGAGAAAAAATAAATAAATATGTTACAAATTTACCTAAAGCCTGAACCAAAATGAATTCTGGGTTGGAAATTTGTTGGTGTGGGTACCCGTTTCAAGACGTGTAGCTAGCAATCAGAAAAAAATTATAAATACAGGGGTTGTGAAAGGAATAGCTTCTACTAGTCAACAAAGGTTTAAGACATGTTATGTCAACAGTGCAAGTCGGAAAGGTTACGTTTGAGAAGATGGCCAAACTATCTCAAAGGATTTTAGATGCTATTAAAAATGTTTACATTATGGATATATAGTGTGTGTTGGGACAGTTATAGACATTTTGGTTATTAAATGAACCGTTTGTTAAACACTGACTCTACTCTTTTGTTGGTCGGATTGTGTCAGATTAGATATCGATGTCAACCAAACGCCAGCAAATTTGTACCCTCATTTTATATCAATTCCAAGCAAACGAAAAGAGTACAAAAACCAGATTAACACGTGAACCGGCATTGCATTCTTGAACCGGGATGAGGACTAAAATGCAGGTACATATTTGCATTTGCATTGGAAACAAACGCAGCCTTATGTAATTTATATCGGTCCGGTTCGGTTTATAAATTTATGCGTCCTTTCGTCCCGACAATTGCAAAAGTACATCTTCCTGGGTTTTTTCCAACGATTTTGTTTCATCGCCGCGCTAATTTAGCAGAGAGAAACCTCACAATCCGCGCCGAATAATCGAACAGTAGGTAAACGAAGAAGCCGCAATCGTGGCTCACAGTTTCTGCATATGCAACTTATATGTGTTTCTTTTGTTTTGTCATTCTGAGTTACTGCGTTTTTTTTCCTCTTCAATGCAGTATCTGGATTCATGCATTTGAACCGGCAAACCTTAGCATATGTAGAAATCGGGAAGAAGAGAAAGAACCCCAAACCCTAAACATTGAATTCCTCGTTCTCATGTTTCAGAGCTATTGTTGAGATATGTTGCCAAAACAAGAAAAGGACCCTATTAATTCCATCGCCATCGATAGTAGCGATGACGAAAACGGCATCGGAAATGCGTGTAGAGAGCATCCATTGCACGGGGAAGAAGGAGTAGAATTGAACAGTCAGGTAATAGTCCCTCTTCCTAGTTCGAGCAATCAGAGCCAAACGTTCTTCTCGCGTAGTTTCTGGAAAGCAGGGGACTATGATGTCGGCCCTACGAAATCGACTCCTGGACCAGGTTTTCCTTCTTTTCCTTCAATATTTTTTTCTTTGTGTGTGTTTTAAATAAAACAAAGTTTTTAGAAATTCTCTGAGCAGTAAGTTGAGATATCTTCACTTGGAAGGTCAACTGGAACATGCACGCATACACCCCAAGTTTCTCCATTCGAATGCAACATCACACAAGTGGGCTTTTGGAGGTTAGTCTAACTATTTTGCTTTTGGACGTCTATCGTGTGTTTCACAATGATATAATTGCAGGTAGGTTTCGAAGTTGTCTTATGGAGATTGACATTTTTTCATTACGTAGTTAACCCATTTTTTAGCGATGGATATAAAGATGACCTGTCAAAAGAAAAAAAATGGAAAGTTTTGAGTTACTTCAAAGTTTCTTAAATACTTTTCATGAATTTCCAATTCTCGAACAGGCCCAGCTGGTGAAGGAGACTCTTTAAGGGCAGAAGTGGTGGCTCTGATAGAAGGGGTACAGAGGGCAGGAACTATAAACTTGAGGAAATTAATTATAGAAGGGGACTCCAAGCTGGTTGTGGCATGGCTCAAGAGAGAGGAAGCTGGGATGTGGAGGTACAATAATGAGAAGAATAAATTTCGATGGATCAGTAGGAATCTGGATCTAAAGCTACAATGGGTGAAAAGAACGGCAAACTCTATGGCTGATGCACTAGCCAAACAAGGGGTGGGAAGAAATCAATTATTTTGGGCACAGCTGTAATTTTCATTTTACTTGGAGGGGAGAGATAAGAGAGCTTATCTCTCACCGTATTCTTTGTTTGTACCATAGTCCCATACTCTTTTAACTTTAGTGAAAAGTTACAGTTATTGATAAAAAAATCCAATTCTTGAAGAATAGTAATTTTCCTTCAATTTGAAGATTTTGACCTTGCTTTTGTGGATTGGTATGGATCACTTTTACAGCGCCTTATTCCTAATTTGGGACCTGAAGTCTCCATATTGAGTTCCTTTAGTGGCTTGAGCGTGCACTTGTACTGAACCATTTCCCATTTTCAAAGCTGGGACTTCATGATGTGTTGTATTAATTTTACTAGTTTAGATGCTTTCCATTCAACATTATTTTTGATCCATAACAAAACAGAGATTTTATTAAAGGATAGGATCAGAAAACCTTATTTCCACGGAAATGGTTATAAGGACCTGAACAAAGTAACAACCCAAGGTTGCCCCATATAATAACCTTTTTTTCCCAACTTTCTTACTAATTAAACCCCGTCTTGGGGTCCCACATATAAAGTCTTCTCTAGCAGTCCCAGCTCTTGCTAAAGCATTTGTGAGGCTATTTGCAGATCAAGGGATCCATTTGAACGGGCAGTTCATGCTGGAAACCATAGACATTGTCTCTCTTCAAAGGTCAATTGTCCAAGAGTCCAAGGGCTTGAATTTGTCAAACAGAACCACTTAGCTGTTGCCTTTAACTAGTGGTTCAGCATTTTTATTTATGTTGTTAAAAGTATTTAATTAATTATAGATTTAAAGATGAACCATAAAAGGCCTGAAGTCTTCTGATATTTTTAGAGTACTACCACCTTCTATACTGAAAAATATTCCAATTAAATAAAAAAAAACTTTCTAATTAGAACTATCATAGTCTCTAAAATTCATAGTCTGATCTGTTATGAAGATGCTTGCATCTGCTCACAGCCAAATTGAAGGTCCTTCCTTTCCTTCCAAATGCTCTATACCAAGTCTTACTATTTGATTTTTATTGCCATCATGTGCATGTTCAGTCTTGTAGCCTCATTTTAGCAAATTGATATTGTGATCCTAGGACATACCATACCATTGGCTATTGAAGGGGTCTTCTATGATTATAAAGGGCATTACTCAATGCTTGTCTGAATGGGTGGTGTCAAGGTGTTAGCAAAGTGGTTGAAAAATGTGTTTGCTGATAAAAAAAGTGGTTGAAAAATGTGATGGACGGTGTCATTTTGGAGAGTCAAGGTGCATTTGTAGAGGGAAGGTTAATAGTGGACAGGGTGTTAATAGCAAATGAGCTGATTGATTCTAGATTTAGAAGCGGAAGAGCAGGCTTGATGTCTAAGGCAAATTTGGAGAAGGCCTACAATCGTGTTAATTGGAATTTCTTGGACTATGTTTTGAAGAGGATGTCACCTAAAGAATTAGAATAGGATGGGCAAAATGGAGGGGTTCATCTGGACTTTTATGTGATAGGCGAAAACCATTTAGTATCTTCAAAAAAACCTTTTAAATTAAAAAGGAAAATTCTATAGAACAGTTGTAAGGCCAGCTATGTTATATGGAGAAAGGTGTTGGGCAGTCAAGAAACATGTCAATAATGAAAAAAAGAGATTAAGGTATTAGAGTGGTCGCAAAAGGAAGATAAAGGTTTTTGGATTTTCATTAATGAAAAGAAGAGATTCAAGTGGATGACTCAAGATATGGAAGTGCAGTTCATCTGGATTAAGAGGGCAGCAAATGGTTTTTCTGATGTTTTAGCAAAGCAAGGGGTGGGGAGAAACCAGTTGTTTTGGGCTCAATTGTAATAGTTTTCTTGTCTGTGGAGAGTTAAGATAGTTTACCTCTCCATACCTTGTAATTCTTTTAAATATTTCTAATGAAATTCTGTTATTGATGAAAAAAAAGAAACATGTCAAGAAAATGTATGTGGCAGAAATGTGAATGTGAGGATGGACGAGTGGAAAAACTAGAAAAGATAGGATTATAAATGAAGTTATCCATAGGAACCTAGGAGTAGCTCTAATAGGTGATAATGAGAGAGATTAGACTAAGATGGTTTGGGCATGTGCGTAGAATACCACCAATCGAACCAGTTAGAAGTGATTTGTTACACATTGAAGGGGCTAGAAGAGCTTGGGGTAGACCAAAAAGGACATGTGTAGAAGTAGTAAGAAATGATTTAATCTCTAATAATTTAATAGTGGATATAACCTTCATCCAGAGATGGAGAGTTTTTTGCTGGAGACAAGGTGGAGAAAGGTGCTGCTCATGGAAAAGAAAAGATTTATCCTAGAAGAAATCGGTGGAGGTTCAGCAGTTAAAATCAAAGAAGACAAGAGATTGTTGGTAGTTATAGGTAGGGAGGCGATAAGCTGGTCCAAAGGTTTCCTTGATGGTACAATTCTTTCCATTACTGAGTTCGGTTGGAAGGGAGAGTTGGTCATCCTTAAGAAAAGATTCTCGGCGGAGAAGAAGATAGTACAAACCTGCTAAATCAAAGGTCTACAAAGAAAAGAAGAGTTTCTTGTGGAAGAAGAGAAAGAGAAGAGAAGAAGTTGAAAAAGAGAGAGTAAATCAGATTTGACTGCCCTCTCCATTAGTATTTATACTTTAATTAAAAGAAGAGTACAATGACTAATATGCCCTTATAGGGTGGCTAACACATAAAATTGCATAAAAAACTTAAAAACATCACTCAAAGGGTCTCAACAAGAGTGTTATAGTCCTCACATCCTATCTAAACAAATATTAAACAAAAAACAACTAACATATCTATACAAAATCCTCAACAGTCCCCCTCAAGTTGGAAGTAAATGTCACACATTCCCAACTTGTGTAGGTCCATAGTTGTCAAGGTGCCTAGGCGTTGTCTAGGCGATGGAATTTGAAAGTATAAAATAAATATTCCTACCCCTCTTAAGCTACTTTATTGGTTTTTTATACTAATCAACATACATGTATGCTAGCTATTAGCAATAAAATCATTCGGATAAAACATAAAATGCCATAGCTTATCATGGCCAACAAAAATGGCGGAGTGCAGCTAAGAAAAGAGAGAAAAATAAGGGGGTGGAGCCCCTGTTTCGTTCCCAACATAAGTTGTCCAAGAGGACGATGTGGACTATGTTTAAGGGGGTGGAGACCCTATTTCAGGCTAAAAAAATGGAGGAGGAGGATTGTTAAAAATAAGAAAGAAGGAATACCTGTGTGATTTTAGGAAGGAGGAGGAAACGTACATGGAGGTCTTGGACTGAACAATGGAAACTTCTTAGTCCTCGCTTTCTCTTCTCAGCTCTCGATTCAAAACTCAAAGTCTTAAACCCAAAGAAACTTTCGTAGTTTTAATGTAAAAGAGAATTACTTTAATAAAAAAATGGTAACATACATGGTGTATTCTAATAAAATAAAACAAACCAATAAAATGATATAATACATATGCACATTCAATATATATATATAGCGCCTAATACAAAAACACCTTGGTGTTGGGCGAGGCGACTTCTAAAAATCGCCTAGTCGCGTATGCGTAGGTCATGTTCAAGCTTGTTCTTTACAATTCCTTTGGTGAAGACATCAACTAACTGTAATTCAGAGGAGATATAAGGTAGGTAGACTTTTCTGGTTGTCACCCTTTCTCTTATTAAGTGTCTATCAACCTCAATGTCTTTTGTCCTATCATGTTGAACTGGATTGTGGGCAATATTGATTGTAGCTTGGTTGCCACAATATAACATCATGGGCACCTTTTCATCTATCTTAATTTCACTTAGTAAGGATCTAACTCAAAGTAATTCGAAAACACCATGGGCCATAAATTTATATTTGGCCTCTGCACTTGACCTAGCAACCACTAACTGCTTTTTACTCTTCCATGAAACCAAATTTTCTCCCACAAAGGTGCATACCCTTGATGTGGATCTCCTGGCATTCAGACAATTTGCCCAATTTGCATTTGTATAAGACTCCAATTATGATCTAAGAATAGAATTCCTCTGCCAGGGTGCTTCTTCAGACTTCAGGTATGCAAATATCCTATCAATGGCTTTCCAGTGCTGAACCCAAGGAGCATGCATATACTGACTCACAATACTAACAACATAAGAAATGTTTGGGCGTGTCATACATAAATATAGTAGCCGACCTACCATCCTCTGATATCTCCCAACATCCTTAGCTAACTCACCATCCAAAGCATTAATCATATGGTTCAGGTCAATAGAAGTATTAGTTGGTTTAACTCCTAGCTTCCTAGTTTCCTGTAGTAGGTCCAAGACATACTTTCTATGAGAGATGGATATACCATGCTTGGATCTTGCAACCTCAATCCCCAAAAAAAATATTTTAGTTCACCTAAATCCTTAATCTCAAATTCTTCCTGCAGTGACTTCTTGAGTGCACTAGTCTCCCTTAGATATTCCTTGTAACAATTATATCACCCACATGCACAATTAGCATTAACACAGGT